TTTGAGGAACTGCCATGTTGTTTTCCACAGCAGCACTACTATTTTATATTCCCACCAACAGTTCATGAGGGTTCCAATTTCTCCAAATCCTCACCAACACTTGTTATTTTCTGCTTTGTTTTGTTTTATCTTTTGATATTAGCCATCCTAATGGGTGCAAGGTGGTGTGCGGATATGCTTTTGAACATTTCTCCTTCTTAGAATAGCATCATCCTGTAGATTTAATGAAACACTCTACCCTGGATTGTTTGTCCTCTCCATTTTTCTTTTTCTCCTCATCATGAATACTGTCAGGGTAACATCATCTCTATCATTAGTGATGACGAAAATGTTCCATAACGTATGCTATTCAGTGCAGTAGTCACTACCCATATGTGATTACTAAGCATGTGGATTGTAGCTAATGAGATGGAGAAAATGAAATTCTAATTTCATTTAATTAATTTTTAATTTAAATCCACATGTGACTAGTGGTTATTATATCAGATAAAGCATTTCTAGATCCTACTTCTTCCTGAGCTCTAACCTCATGTCCCAACTGCTTCCTTGACATATCTGCCTAGAGGCACTATAGTAAACAAAATTCCACATATCCATCGTCAAACTCATTATCACTTTCTTCAGGCCAGCCCCTAATGTAGTTAATTCAATAATATCAACTTTGTCCAAGATAGAATTATTCAAATGATCCTTTACTATTCATTCTGCTTCATGTTCCATATCCAGGAAATCATATATCCTGTGCATATCCAGTGCTAGAAATATCTCTTAAATCTATCTTCTCTTTTCTAAACTACACATCATCATATCTTGCACACTACTACCAACAACCTACTCTTTAAGGAACTCTCAAGGGAAATTCACTGATATTAAGATAAAGTTAAAATTCTTAAATTCCTCAAGCATCACCTCTCTGGTGAATTCTTCAAGTCTCATAGAGGTAAAATCTTCATCCTCTTCCCTCCCATACGTTGCCCATATTACTATCATCTCTTTTAGTATGTTATATTGAAATGAATTGCTTACCTTGGACCCACTCCTGTATGTTAATTGTTTTTTATTTCAAGTGTTTTGCTTCATCCTTGGCTTATAGTAGGCTACTAGAATGCTTAGATATCTAATAACAATTTATGAGCTCAATGCTGATGATTTAGAAATATAATGAGAAAATTCCTAGGTGTAGAAGGAGAAATAAGCCTATTTCAAAACATGAATCCATCATGATTTTATTCATTTATTAAAGGATTAAGCAGCTAAGATTTATATTGGTATTTCATTCATGTTTAGTCTTTGGAAGAATTAGTTTGGTCTCTATGATAATTTAAAAAAACAAATGCTATTTTTTAAGGTAATTTTAAGGTAATTTAAGGTAATTGAAGAAAACATCTTCAACATCGATGTAAGGTGCAACCCTTCAGCAGCTTTATACTGTACCACCTGACTGTCCCTGAATCCATGATAAATTACACATTTTGGCATCAATATTGAGACTTATTCATTATTTTCTTGGTTTCATGCTTTATATCAAAAAGACAAATGCCAAGATAAATTCAAACTTTGTAAAACATTTTTTTTTAAAAAAGGAACTATAGGACAACATTGGAAAACTACTTACTAGGATTCAACTCACAGCTCACATCCCATGTATAAGTGTGGTTTATTTATTTTTAATTTATTTTTAATTCAGAAAAGCACTAATGAAAAATTATTAAATTTTTAATGCTTAGAAATTGTAATTTAATTTGACATAAATTATATTTGTGGTATATAACTAAGGTCTAGAATGCAGTTATTAATTTGGAAAAAACAACAGATTGTATTATATGAACCTTTCTATAAGATGTATATTTTTGTATTTAATTAGATAACATTAAATATATGATTTTGTTATAGTGTTGTGTATCAAGTTTAAACTTTTATTGGGAAAATAAGGAATAGTATCTTCAGTATTTCCATTGTTTCTGATTTCTTGAAAATGTTTTAGTATTGATATAATAGCAAAAATAACTGTGCGTTATCATTTTACGAAGTGTTCTTCATATTTCATATCATTTTCATAATTGACAGTGACAGAATTTAAACCTATCTATATCTTTCTATTCAAAATCCAGCACTATTTCTATAATATCACACTGCTATGTGGATTATAATAAACATGTGATATACTGTGATAATACCACTATTATCCTTACTGAAACAAAATATTCTAAAGACCTCAACCCTTCACAAATTAAATTTTATACTCCATTTATACACGTTAACTTATCACTATATTCTCAGTATTTAATTAATTAATTTAGTTATATGCTTTCATATCTAAGTTGGTATTTTTTTCCTCTCTTTTCTTTAAAGTAAAAGCTAAATGTAGAAAATTCAAGTAGGGGCCTATTTTGAAGACATTAGCACTAGTATTCTTTAATGTGTCAATAATTATACTCAATTATATATATATTGCATTTCCAGAGAAAATGTACACACCATCTTTTCAATCTCAGAGAATCCTAGTGAGAAAATCCATTATGACTGTACCATTTTTTGATGTAGAAAATAAAGTTCTACTAAATAATATAACAAGTTGGGAGTCAAGATAGAACCTAAAATCCATATTTCCTAGTTTTGTGCTCTGGTCAACCCCTCTATATTTATACTTTCATTTTGTTGTTGATCAAAGAAAATCTGATTTTAAAACAAAGTATCTATTAAACACTTTTTTTTTTTTTTTAATGGTTCAACAAGTTCCTATATTGGTGAAATAAGACTGAACTTCTGAAGCACAATTTCTTCCCTTGGCCTGAGTCTACAACACGAGCGGTTACCACAGGTAATGTGATGACTGGGGAAACAGTATCAATATTAGGTAAATACATGCCATCATTTAAAAATGTCATAGAACACCTGCTTCTGCACTTTAGATTTTAATTTTTCATACACATAGAATTCTTTCCACCATCCATTTAATGGGTTAAACATCTGCTTACACGAGAAATATATTTGAAAATACATGTAGAAATTGTACCAATATCTGTGCATAAATTTGTGTCTTCTTTCAAATGGCCTCTTATTTTCTGTTTCACACTAAGTACTGATCTCATATTTATGTGTCAGGCCATATTCTATGCTCCCCTACTCCCTCTGACCCATCCATCCTTGCTTCCCAACATTCTCTCAGGAGTTGTAGGATGGCCGAGGCCTCATGTAGCAAGAATCAGTGAGTGTTTGTACCTTTAAAATCAAAACCTTAGAATTTTCTCTGGCTAGGAATTTCATGTGCTAGACATTATCTTCTCATTATATACCTGATATCAATATGTTCTCAAACTGCCCCTTCTATAAAAATCCATGAATTTCCTGATCCACAGAGAAAAGCAGAAAAATTGGAGAAAGTATTATTCTTTCATTGCCCTAAAAATCCTATAATGCTTTACTTAAAAATAAGTATATAAACCTAGGCTTTAAGTGTCCATAACATTTGAACAAATATATATATACATACACATACATATAAACACACACACATCCTCATCCAAATGTATCTAGATATATATACTTAAATATACATATATATAGATAGATAGATAGATAGATAGATATAGATATAGGTATCAGATTTGTATTTCTTTCTCTCTCTCCCCCTCCCTCCCTCCCTCCCTCTCTCTCTCTCTCTCTCCCCCTCTTTCTTTGCACATCAGGAGTACAGTTAAGATTTCAAATGCTAAGGAGTTATTATTTGGGGGCCACATCTATTTTACTATATCCAAATAAGAATGAATAATGATCAGAGAATGGATATATTCAAAACTAAATCAAGGAACTAGATTAGACTGGAAAGGAAAGAGCTATAAATGTAGTTTAAGTTCAGAAATCTTGAGCTTAGGAGAATTTTACGTAAAATATGGTCCAAACTCTACTTATTTTAAAAGTTCAGAAAAAAATAAATGTACACATCTCTTAAACGTGAGGGTAGACCTAAAATTTTAGTTTTTGTATTCTGAGCTCATTCCATTGCCACTCATTGAGTTCAGTTATTTTACCACAATTCCTCTTTCTAAAGCAGAAAAACAGCCTTGTAAAATTTCACTAAGAAGATTTAAGAATGATTCAATCTTTCAACTAAGCATATATAAATATGGATTATTTTAAGTGTACTGAAATGCCAATATTCTGTACAAACTCTATCCCCCAAAGACTGGCTATGACTGGTTAAATCAATTGTTGGTAAATGTAAAAATTCACATAATGTCATATGATCTCAGAACATTAAACTTATTTGCTCCATACTGTAGGATTTAATTTTCTTCATTCTATAAACTCACAGCCAAGTACATACCATAAAAATAGGTATGAGCATCATCGAATAAAAGCAATTATTTTAAATTCAGTCTAACTTTTTCTTTAAGAAAAAGAGCCTTTTTTTTTTTTTTTATTAAAACAATAAAGTACCACAAACAACAATGTGGAATCTAAAAAACACAACAAACTAGTGAATATAACAAAAAAGAAGCAGGCTCACAGATATAGAGAACAAACTAGTGGTTACCAGTGGGGAGAGGGGACAGGGAGGAGAAATAAAAGGGCATGGGAGTAAGAGGTACAACTATTATGTATAAAATAAGCTACCAGGATATATTGTCCAATACAAGGAATATAGCTTATATTTTATAATAACCATAAATGGAGTATAACCTTTAAAAACTGTGAATCACTACTGTATACCTGTAATGTACAAAATATTGCACAACTGTACTTCAATTAAAAAATAATTGATTTTTTAATACAAACCATCAGTTATTGGTCTGTATGATCTTGATTGAGTTGCTTATCATCTTTACTCCTTAGTAAAATAGTAGGAAGTATGTGAAATCCTCTCTAGTATATTCTCCAAATGAATATATATATATATATATATATATTTCTCTTGATTGGTTATTTTCCTTTCCTCCTTCTACTAATAGAAAGAACAAAACTTTCTCAATCTTTTCATGAATGCATTCCTCTCCTACCTTGGTAATGGTCTCGTGAAGTTTGAAAAAAGGATCCGTTTCTTCAATTTTTGTTGCACGTTTAGGGAAAAAGCCTTCAGAGAGAAAACTTGGACCCTGTGGAAAACCAGAAAATAAACATTCTAAACTCTTCATTGATTTTGTTTTTCAAGGGCTTATTGGATTTTCTTTAAAGATTCAAAAGGACTCTAAATTGCTGTAAGGTTTCTGTTGATTGTTGGACTTCATTCTGCTGATATAATTAACCAGTCACAAAATATTTATAAATTAAAATGATTAGACTTCTATAACACTTGACATTATTTGTATTTACCAAAGGATGTTTTCTTACTCAGAAGAGATCATTATTTGCTGTTCACCCTTTTATTTTTCAAATGCAGACAGTGTAGAGTAAGATACCTTGACTGCAAAACCCATATCTAAAACCCCTTCTCTATTTTATATATTAAATTTTATGCTTAAAGACTGGTAGAATAGAATGTTTTTAATAAAAAAAAAGTCTAGGCAACAGGGTGCATAATATTTTAAATACTGCAAAACTTACTTCAAGACAATAGTAGGATATGTTTTGAGTAGAATGACCTCATGGTTTTATGTGCTGCCAATAAAGTTGTAACGTTGTATCAGACCCTTAGCGTGAAGATGGTTGAAATGAATCAAGACATTGTAATTAATCATTCTGTACTTGCAGGTGCAGATAAATTTCAGGATGCAAGAAGACATGGGATGCTGACAAGGTAGCTATCTGCTATGGTCTGAATATTTATGCCCCCCCCCCCCCAATTCATATGCTGAAATCCTAATCTCCAAAGTAACAGTATTAGGAGGTGGGGCCTTAGGGATGTGATTAGGTCATCAGGGCTTTGTTTTCATAATTGGAATTAGTGTCCTATAAAAGAGACCTCACAGAGCTCCCTAGCCCCTTATGTGAGGATACAATAAGAATTCTGCAACCTGGAGGAAGGCTCTCACTTAACCATCCTGGCACCCTGATCTTGGACTTCCAGCCACCAGAACTTGAGAAATAAATTCCTGTTGTTTACAAGCCACTCAGTCTGTGATACTTTGTTATAACAGCTCAAATGGACTAAGACAATACCTAAAACAATGCTCTTATAGTTATCAACACTATAAGTATCCTATGAAACAATTATTATCTACATATAATTTTCATTTGAAAACCTGAAGTAACTAAACTTATTTGTCTTAAAAAATATAAGATTGGGACAGAATATATGTACTTATGCAGGTGATAGATATATAGAAAGAAAGAAAAATAGATGATAGATACATAGATAGGTAAATTTTTCAAAATCTATCATGGGAAAGATAGATTAAATCAAGTCTACACCAACAATAACCACACAGGATAACAAATTTAATTTGAATTCTATTAGAACCATTTATTAGAGTAATCCAACAGCAGAACAGACTACATTGGGATATATCAATAGTGAGAAAGAAAGTTAGGATGCTGTAGTTGAGACTCAGAAGTCATACACATGAGAAATGAAACCAACATAATTGTAAGTCTTCATATATTAAATAATTCTGTGATCAAGCAGACTCTTAACCCCCTATTTTGAACAATACTACGATTAAAAAAATAAAGTAATTTAGCTGTTTGCTCCAGCATATATGCACTTTTCGATAATAAGACCATGAATCAACCAAATAGCTTACCTATCAAGACTAACGCTTATTTGTCAAAACTTGTTTATGTTCCTCTCCTCATTTTAACCACCAATCTAAAAGTAATTTTAGAAACTGCCCAGTTCCAACCAGTATTCCAGTTTTTAAGACCTGCCATAAAACCACACAGCCAAGGCCTAAAATATCATAAATGCCCTTTCCTAATTTCTCCCCATTTTGAGAGACTACTAAGACTCAGTGCTATGGGTTGAATAATTCATATGTGAAATCCTAGCCTTTAGTACCTCAGAATGTGATCTTATTTGGAAATAGGTCACTGCATAAATAACTAAGTTAGAATGAAGTCATACTGGAATAGAGCTGGTCCCTAGTACAATGTGACTGGTGTCCTTATAAAAAGAGGAAATTTAGAGACAAATTTGTACACAGGGAGAAAAGCATTCAAACATGAAGGCACAGATTGGAGCGATGTGTCTACAAGCCAAAGAACTCAAAAGATTGCCTCAAAATCACCAGAAACTGGTCAAGAGGCTTGGAACTGATTCTCTGTCACAGACCTCAGGAAAAAACAACACTGATAACACGTTGAACTGTTAAGACAATACATGTCTGTTGTTTAAGTCACTCAATCTGTTGTGCTTTGTTATGGCAGCCCTAGGAAACTAATACACTCAGTCAAGGTGGTATTCTTCTTTACTGAAATAGGTCTAATACACTTAATTTTGTTTATCAACAGAGTTTTGTGGAGGTATTTTGGGCAGTCAACATAGAAATAGGTTAAAATTTGGGTTTTGCCACTTAACAGTTGTGCCATATTAAGCATCTTAATCTCCAGAGGATTAGTTACAGCATCTAAGAAACTTGGAGAAAAACATATATTTCACAGAGATGTTGTCAACAGTCCAATCCTGCTACATAGGAGACACTATATTTAATAACATTGATGATGTTGCTAAAAACAATAAATATCATAATAATGATGGTGAGGGTGGTAATGATGGGGTAGTGATTACGGTATCATGCTGAACTAAAGGAAATCCAAAGACTCTGTGTGATCCTGGGAGAAACAGTGTACAATTTGCATAGAGGTATCTCTGAATTGACTTTAGTGAAAGTATGACATGGACAATTTGCCATATTCATTTTCATTTAATAATTAAGCTTGAAGTTCTTAAAAAGTTTGCCCCATGAGTAATTGCAAATAAAGCTGAAATAATTTTATCCGTTTAGTATACTTAGCAAAACAAAACTTCATAAATAGTGCAAAAGTAAACTATCAGCGAGACTCAAAATGAATGATCCCATAAGAATAGAAATTGGGAGTTATAATTAATGAGGTTTTTATTGAACTTTCAATTATTCAAAAACAGAACATATTAAATTAAATTATCCATATGTGCCTTATTCTCTAATATAATCTCCTTCTCTTTCTGGTTCCTTCACCTATCTCTTTCATCGCATTGTTTGTTTCTAGTGCCTCATTTTTATAAGCATTTAAACAATATGCATTTGACAATTACTGTATGCCAGGTCCTACACTAAATGCAGGATGTTGTCCTTAATCTCATGGAACTTAATCTAATGCGATTTGGACGATAATCTAACATCCATGTGTTTGAAAATATTAAGACACTACCATTCCTTTTCAATATAATAATAATCATTTATGAACAGTTATTTATATATCCTGACATAAAAAATAAAAGATTAAAAAGAATATATGCTTTGTAAAAGATTTTCACTGCTATCAAATTAACTATGATTGATAGCTGTTTGATAATGGCTCCCACCTGTTGATGAACAGAGGCAAGTAAAACACCACTAACCATTTAGAGAGCACTTTCGTTTAGAACAATTCATTGATAGACTGAAATGAAAGAGTAAGTTAAGATATGCAGAACTTAATATTGTATGTATGTCACATGGAGACCATAGTAAGAATATCACAGAAGAAGTGATATTGATAAGAAAAGTCTATCCAGGATCTAGTTTAAAATTCAGTGTGTCTCGGGGCTTCCCTGGTGGCGCAGTGGATGAGAGTCTGCCTGCCGATGCAGAGGACTGCGGGTTCGCGCCCCGGTCCGGGAAGATCCCACATGGCACGGAGCGGCTGGGCCCATGAGCCATGGCCGCTGGGCCTGCGCGTCTGGAGCCTGTGCTCCGCAACGGGGGAGGCCACAGCAGTGAGGCCCGCGTACCGCAAAAAAAAAAAAAAAAAAAAAAAAATTCAGTGTGTCTCCCCAGTCTCTAAACTTACTTGTCCTTTCTGTAACATTTAACAATATTTAGCACACCTTTCTTCTTTCAACTCTTTTTCCTAAAGTCCATGATTTGACTCTGGTGGTTCTCCATTTATATATTATTTTCTACCTATAACTGGATTCTCTTTTCCTTTTTTGAGCTTTTATTGTTTCTAGGTGGTCTACCTAATCTTCTCCTTATCACAGTCTCCCTAGGTGGTTTGGTCTACTTTTCTGGCTTCAATGACCAAATTCAGATTGATAATTCCCAAATCTTTATCTCTGGCTTAGTTCCTGTTTTTAGTTCATCATTTTTTGCCTACAAGAGCTTTCAGACACATTAATTCATGTTGCAAATCATGAGCATGTGTTCCCCCATTGTCACCTTAATTTCTTACCTTGGATAATAGCATAATACCTACATTTTACCCAAATGTGAAATTTTATGTCATTCTTGACTCCCATTTCTTGCAACCTTGGTACCACAGAACTACACTAGCCAATTTCTTTCTAATTCATATGTTTAGACAATTCTCTACAAGTTCTTATTTGTTGCCATAGTCCAGTTACTCATTACTTTCACCCAAACTATGGTCCTTATTGTCTGTAGAGGAAAGTCCAAACTCATTAGTATATTTCACAAACAAGTCCCAACCTATCTTCTTTCACCTTTAAACAAGTCTTTCTTTCCCATAAACTTATTTGCACTATTTTCATATAGCTACTGCTTAAGTCACAGCAGTCTATTCACCAAACCTTGAATTCATCCTTACCTTTCCTATCTCTGTCCCTTTCTGCCATTTCTTCTTCTGCCTGGAATGCTTTTTCTTTATCTGTTTATCAGGCTTCTTTCTATAACTGTTTTCCTCGATCCTTACCAACACATCAGAATTCATAGTTCTCGTCAGTCTTTCCATATCACCTTGTGTTTGCTTTTTACTCACCATTTATTACATGTTTGTTATATTTCTGTTTTTATCACTATACCATGAGCTTTTTAAGACTTGAGACTCTTTTCTTATTAAATTAGTCTAAGACTGCCAGACAACCTTGAGTAAGTCATTAATCTCTCAAGCTTAGTATCATCCTCCATAAAGCTGAAATGTAAATATACTTGCCCTTCTAACACCAGAGAGCTCATGTCAGGATCAAGCAAAATAACAAAGCATACAAAATGCTCAGTAAGGAGGAAAGGACTACACT